GTATTAACTTACATATGGAAGGTATCATACCAATCATTTATGTATTAACTTATGTATGGAATGTATCGTACCAATCATTTATGTATTAACTTACATATGGAAGGTATCATACCAATCATTTATGTATTAACTTATGTATGGAAGGTATGGTACCAATCATTTATGTATTAACTTACATATGGAAGGTATCATACCAATCATTTATGTATTAACTTATGTATGGAATGTATCGTACCAATCATTTATGTATTAACTTACGTATGGAAGGTATGGTACCAATCATTTATGTATTGACTTACGTATGGAACATATCGTACCAATCATTTACCAATGATTTTATCACACAAAGATGTTACTCAAGAACATCTTAATGGTCTTATTTACTCTAGGTATGATAGAACATTTGATATTAGGGTTAGCAAAGTCTGCCTCTTCTGTACATAGTGAAGACCATTTACTGGTGACAAATGATGATGTATTTTTCTTACCTAATACTCATTAAAATATGAAATGTCAATTTGCTGATGATAATCTGAATAATTGAATAAAAAGATTTCTTTTCTTTTAGTGAGCGAATGACAGTCAAAGAATGTCTCCGACATTCCTGGATCAGATGTGGTGGTAACCTGGAGAATCCATGGTCTGATGTAGTATTGTCATCGAGGAATGCTAAGGTTTCTGTTTTTTCAGTAGAAGTTGCTGAAGAAGTGACCTGTGGACAAGAAGTCGTGCCTCTGTTACAGCAGTCTGAAGAAGCTGTTTCTGTAAATGTTGTAGAGGGAACATTTCAACGTCACACACACCTGCTTCCTGTAAACCATCACCATTCTAAAAGAGAGAGGGGATCTGAAAAACCTTGCCCACCTTTACCTAGCCGAACTCCTACAAAAAATAGGGCTGTCCCTGAAGTAGAAGAGAGAATAGTTGAATTGGAGGGACTAAATATAGGTAAACGTATCATTATTGGGGATGAAAGGATGAGCATGGTGTACTGAAGTGTCTATCCTCAGTTTGAAAGTCATCATTTAACTTAATTTGGTGAAAGCTACCCACTGTCCAAGTTTGTAGTTTAATGAAACAGTTGTATATAAAACTGAAGTGGTATTATCATCATTGAAGTAGATGGGTAATACGTGGGCAGCATTAGCTAGTTTGGTATTATCATCATTGAAGTATCTACCTCAATGATGATAATACCAAACTAGCTAATGTTGCCCACGTATTACCCATCTGGGTAATATGTGGGCAACATTAGCTAGTTTGGTATTATCATCATTGAGGTAGATGGGTAATACGTGGGCAGCATTAATTAGTTTGGTATTATCATCATTGAGGAAGATGGGTAATACGTGGGCAGCATTAGCTAGTTTGGTATTATCATCATTGAGGAAGATGAGTAAATATGTATGCAATGTTAACTCATTCTTTTATGACTATAGCTATAGTGGGTTGAATCTTAAAGAATCTTGTGTGATCATTTCACCCATTTTAAGGGACCAGTGTTGTGGAATGAATAAAAAAAGTATTTGGATCCAATTAATTCTCTTTATTTCAAAGAAGTGAATTTCTCTGAAGTTTGATTATATATCTTCAGTTTCAAAATAAACCCTTGTACACGAATTTTGAACAGACAATCCTGTTACTTGAATTAATTATAATTTTGTGTATGTAGTTTAGTAATTGATATTCATTAACAAACTGTTCCGTAAAACAATACGTTTTATGTACGAATCAACTGATGTAGCGATAATATTAAATGAATTTATTATGGTGTATTCCTCTGAAGTTTGATATTAAAGAAGTAATAAGTAAGATTTTGACATGGCATTTATAAAATTTAGGGTTAAAACAAGAGGTCGTGATGTGTAAATATATTGTAAATAATTTATATGTAGAGCTTGTGTCTAGTTCTGTAGAAAAAGAGCAAATATTGAATTAAAGACAGCACTTAATGTCCTTTAGTTCTGTTGCTTTATTAGTCTATTATGTAGACTAGTATAATATCTTTATATTTATCAGTTTCTAAACTGTAAAAATAATATGAAATAAGCAGTTAGTCCTAATTTATTAGATACTTCCCTCCGACTCGTGTGTTTTTGTAATCTATTTGGTTTTGTCAATAAACAGTTTATACAAATAGATTTATCAGTAATCTCATTGAATGAAACTGCCTGGTTGTTTTTGTTTTTCTTTGTCAGATTGTTATCTGATGTAAGGCTGCTACACAGATATTCACACATAGTTCAGAAATTTCACCTATTTAAATGGTAAAATCCAGGATATTTGTCAGATTGTTATCTGTTGTAAGGCTGCTACACGGATATTCACACATACTTCAGAAATTTCACCTGTTTCAATGGTAAAATCCAGGATATTTGATGCTAGATAAAGCACTAGGTAAGTTGTTTATTGCTAGTTTTTTTTCTCCACTCCTCTTTTAAGCAGTGAATCTGATGAGTATAGTGGCTTTACCCAAAGTTTTCTTCTTCCATCATAAATACTTGGTATTATCCATACATCAAAAGCAGTTTAATTTAGAACGAAGAACCACCTGGGCAGACAACAGGTGAATTTAAAATGTTGTTTTTATACGCTTCTAATTTAAAATTGCAACTGACTGAATTGGAGGAATGGGAAAAAATTTGTTGTCTAGTGATATTTATTTCGAAGTTTGTGATTACTCAATATATATATATATGTGTGTGTGTGTTTGTGCATATTCTTACAAAAGATTAACAAGTTCAATACATTTCAAACAAACTCTCTTTAGACGTTTATAAACAGTAGATGAAAAACAATGTTGGATTATGTATGATTTTAATTTAATACAAATTATGAATATGAAAAAAGTTGTAAATTTAACCAGTAGTGTGTTTAATTTGTTGATTCTTCAAAACTACACAAAGGGCCATCTGTGCTCTAACCACTGCGCGAGTATCTAAACCTGATTTTTTGCGTTATAACCCCACAATTTCCGGCTGAGTCACTGGGGAAAGTAAAATAATTTAAATTCTTTTTCCTACTGTAATAATGCTTTTTTTTTTACTTTCGCATTGAAAAATCTTCAACTTGCACTGGTAGCTCTTAGTATAGCTCTATTTTTTCATAGATTCGTTTTTTTCAGGATTATATTTTCGAAGTGGTCAAAAGTTCTCTCTAAAGTAGGTAAGTATTTGTTGTATTAGAAACAACTTTGATGATTTATGTCAGACCTGATATGGATAAACACGAAACGTCCTTAACTAGTTCTGTACAATGGCTTAGTGATAAGCTTTAGGCTTATGATTCTAAAATCCGGATTTCGATTCCGGTTGTGGGCACAGCCCAGATAGTTGGAATTAAGAGAAGTAATTCAACTGTTTGTTGGAATCAAGGGTAGTAGTTCAACCGTTGGTTGGAATCAAGGCTAATAGTTCAACCGTTGGTTGGAATCAAGGCTAATAGTGCAACAGTTGGTTGGAATCAAGGGTTGTAGTTCAACAGTTGGTTGGAATCAAGGGTTGTAGTTCAACCGCTGGTTGGAATCAAGGGTTGTAGTTCAACAGCTGGTTGGAATCAAGGGTTGTAGTTCAACAGTCGAGTGGTATAAAGAAAAGAACTAATTATCCGAACTGAATCTAAAACCGTTTCGATTGTACCTGTTTATATTTGCAATTGAACTTTATAAAATTCTCTGTGTAGTAAAAATTAATTTCTAAATTATTGAAAATATGACTTTATGTTGATAAGTTGGAACAAGTGATTTCGTTAAAAAGTTGTATATCAGAAATTAAAAAATAAAATATAAATGTGTCTTCATTTTCTTTTAAATTTCCTGAAGACGAAGGTTCAAGGCGCCGAGTAAACGGTGATTTATAATGAGAAAACTGATGTATGATGGACATATTCTAAAATTTAATCCACTATTTACCACTGTTCGTTAGTCAACATACAAATATCAACAATGTTAAATTCAAGAGAAAAGTTAGACTTTGTTATCAATCAAGGAAATTTCTGTTAAACGTTATTATTATATTAGGTCAACAGTAGTTCCAGATCTAAAATTGAAAAGTTCGTTTGTTAACTTAGGCCTACAACTAGCGTCAAAGTAAACGTAGACTTCAGCAAACGTTATTGAATATATAAATTCGTTATTAGGGCTATTAGTACATATATATACATATAAAGAATTCTTGTAGCTCCCCGGAAAGCTTGAGGGCTTATAACGCTAAAACACGGAGTTCGATACTCTCGGTGAAAACAATTCAGAT